TTGCCCCCCAGTGGTTCCCAGGGCAGGCAGACCTGGGAGACCCCCCATCTTTGCAAGATCCCCCCCCATCCATGCACTGAAAAATGGGATTCTGTCCCAAAAATGCCCCTAACTGCTGACATGAGCTGGAAGTCGTGATACCCAGTGTCAAATGTAGCCCTTCCTGGGGGTAACTTGCTCTGGTTTCCAGCCTGCAGTGATTTCTGTCCATGTCTCCCTGGAAGCAGCAGCTCAGCAGCAGCTTTGCCCTGTGGCAGGGCTGCCACCTGGCACCTCCAGCTCCAGGAAAAGTGATGGCAAAAGGAAGCATTTTGGCCACTTTTCAAAGCTGTATTTTTAGAAGAGGAGAGCTGGGAAAGAACCTCTGGAAACGAGGTAGGAAGAGCTATTTTTGAGGGCTTGATCACTGCAAGGTTGCTCTCCTGACCTGGGCTGGTTTCTGGGTGGCAACTTGGGGCACAGTTCAGCTTGAGACATCAGACAATCCATGTAGGACAAAGGACCAGTGAGCCAGAAAAGCAAGCAGAGCATGGAAGCACCAAGGGAACAAAGCCATGTTACTTCCTTTAGCTTTTCATCTCAGCCAATTCAATGTGAGTTTCTCTTTGCTGGGGCTCAGAGCTGCTCTGAACCTTTTGGTTTTTTTTCAGCCCAGGGCTAAACCAGCACATCCCTGTTCAATTAATGGTATAAAAAAATAGTACAGGAAGGAAACTGAGTCTCAGGGTCTTCACTGAAGCCAAATCCCTTCCTTGAGGAGGTGTGAGTTTTTTTCTGACCCTATTTCATTATCCTCCACCTCAAAACTCTGCCTTAAAAAACCCACCAACAAGCTGCTCTAGACAGTTATTCCTGCCTTGTCAGGTTTTGTCTTCTCTGCTACTGGAATCTAAAGAGCAATTCTCTGGTAGGAACCAAGATTTCCAAGATCTGCCTCATGCCCATGGCCACCCCTTCAGGCAGGTTGTCATGAGGAAGGGCCACAGCTCTTTGTGTGCTCCATCTGCTTTTCACAGGGCAAGTTCATCACACATCTCTAGTTAATGGCTCAAAGAGCAGCTTGAAGAAGCAGTGGAAGAGAGTTCCATGTGCAGGGGGTTTGCTGGCCAAGGACTCAAGGTGTTGCTTGAGGGTCACCTCTTAGGGATGAAGGTTCTAAAGCCTTTCCAAGAAGCATCCCTGCCCCTAAGGGCCCTTCCATAGCTGTCCCTAAACAGAGGCCATCAGGACACATCCCCAATGGGACTGAAATGTCCTTCCTTTTCTCTGGGCTCTTCTGGAATGAGACCAGTTTCCTCCAGGTGATTATCTGGGCCATTATTTATTATAAGGTCATGGTGACCAAGTAAAGTTCTAGGACATCAAGGCCTTCAGCTGACAAAATCATTTCTCTGCTTGGAGACTCACACCAGTTTACTGTGCTGTGGGACATAAAAAGTGGACCAAATTCTGATTTCCCTCCTGGTTTTTTTCACTCTGAGAAAATTCCTCCTGGTGTTCCTGCTGGCCCTCCTTGAGTGGATCTCAAGATGACTTATTCAGGCTCAGATTCCACAAGTTTTAAGTCCAAATCAAGCTTCTATTAAAACCAGGCAGCCACTTAGCAAGAGAAACCCCCTTTAAGCTGATAAACAGTTTGAGTAGTTCCAACCAACCACATTGTGTTGCCTTGTCCAGCTGCCTAGAGCAGCAAATACCCCACCCAACCCCCCCTCTTCTTCTACTCACCCAATTCTCTAGTTTTTTTAAAGATATTCATGTTAATTCATTATCATTGGCTGTATTTTAACCTCCTTTATCTGGAACCAAGCTCCACCTTCTGTATTTTCTTCCCTTTATTTTTTTACAGGAAGCTGCACAACTCAGCCTCACCCTCCTATAATATTTCTTTAATGCAGGGGTTTGTCAATAGTGTAGAATCAGGGATGGAAATCAATGCTGCTGCTTTTTTTTTGATTCTCTGGGAGTGCCTGTTCCTTCCTTCCCTCTGCTCCAAAGCCTGAGACATCAGGTTGCTGTTTGCTCCCCAAAAGCTTCTTTCTTCCACTTGGAGGCAAAAAAAGTTCTCTATAAGCAGAAATAAGTCTGCCTTTTAACATCTCCAAAGTGGATATTGATAGGAAAAGGGATTAGTTGCTCATTAGGGGGGAAAAAAAATAAAGGCAACATTTTTAGAGTGATTTCCCTGACTCATTCTAACCTTCAGATCACCTTCAGTTCTGTCCAGCTGCCTCTGAACACAGCTCAGAAATGAACATGGCAAGAATGTGCTTTAAATTGAAACCATTTCTTCTCCTTCAGAAGGATTTCTGCACAAACCTGTCAGTGCCAACTCCCTCTCCTCTGAGTATCCTGGTTTGTAAGGGAGTCAGTGTGGGTGATGGAAATGACAGTATCCTAGGAAAGTTTGCATCGCTGGGATTTCAGTGTTAAATAAACAAACCAGCTGCTACCACTGCTGGGTTCTGAAGCAACAATGTATTTTGCACCCTGGGTAGATGGATTGAAGGCCATCCATGCACCAAGGATTGTCATGAAAAGGACATTAATGCCCCTCCCTGTTTGCTGTCCAACACCATTTTTCAACATCAGTTTGTTTTCAGAAGATTTAAAGGGTAATAAAAGCTCCCAAGCACCTCTGGTAACCATCTGTTTTCTTTTCCCAGGAAGTTTTCCATATGGATAAACCCACAATCTGTTCCCCCCTCCCAGTTTTTACTTAACAGGGAAAAAAAAGCAGGAATAAACCAGGTTGAAATGGATCCTTTTCCCTAAAAGGGATGAACATGCAGTGCCACAACAGGCAGGAATTTTGATTTAAAATAAACCCTGAGGCTTATTCCCTATGGTGAAAACTTTTAGCAACCAGATTTAGGACCATTTAGGATTTTAGGACCAGATTTTGGAATCCACGATTGCTCCAGCCCTAATAATCTGCTCTCTGTTTTGTCACCTCCAGCTCCAGAGGGGTGAAGCAGTGGAGCTTGGTTTGCAAACACCACCCAGCAGCTCCCTGGGATAGTTGTGACTTCTCCCCTGCCTGCAGTGCTGCAGTCCCTATGACAGCATCATATTAATGAGCCAGCAGAGAGGGCCGAGGCTCCTCCATGTGCTTTGCAAAGTTTAACCCTGTCCCTCAGACTTCCCCAGCTCTCCCCAGCGGTGACACAGCAGCAGCAACCCTGGCTGTCCCGGCTTCCCAGCAGGAAGGCAGTTTTGGAGGAGGATTTTGCCTCTCCCTGCTGGAAACAAATTCCCAGCCTGCAGCCCCTTTTCAGCCCCTTTCTGAAGGAGGAGTTAAAATCTCCCCCCCCAGCCTTGCCCTGCTGTGCTGGGGAGCTGCACCAGGCTTTTCTTTTCCTAGTACCAGCAGGTTGGGGGGGTTTTCTGTCTGCTTTACTAACCAGATGCCCTTGTAGCTGCAATCCCTGCCTCCAAGTGCAGCTCAAAGCCTGGGGGGGAGCTGGGCAGCCCCTCCCAAGGACACTCTGCAGCAGGAACAGGATGATTTTTTCCACCAGGTTTTCAAGCAGGAGGATTTATTTCCAAGCCTTAGATGAAAGGGTGAGGGTGGGAGGGAGAGAGAGAGAGGAAGAAAGAGAGGGGGAAAGAAGAGTCAAGATCAAGGATGTGGGATGCAGGGGGGGTTTGCAGCACTGCACCGGTTCCCCTGCAGACCCCGCGGCTGCGGGGGGGAGAAGCCTTTGCCAGGGGCTGCCCCGGGGCCGCAGAGCAGCTCCCACCCCCCTGACCTTCCCGTGCCCGGAGAAAGGGGGGAGCCGGGGGCTGGGGGTGCACCCCTGAGACCCCGGGGGCTGCGGGCCCGGCCCGCTCCCTGTCCTGGTCCCTATTCCTGTCCTGATCCTG